AGCTATACCAACTTTTGCAAAACTAATTATCTTGTTTGTTACTTCAAGCCATCTGTGCATCTTTGGTATTACTTTTTCTGTAATATTATATAGTTACCCCAAAATTTACTGGGTCTCAGAACCTTGTCAGCCTCTTCTTTAAATTCATACCATGTTGGCTGTGCATCTTAGGTGGAAAAGCCAAGACCAGGGGCTGGTATAGACCAGAGGAGTCTTGCCTAATAAGGATTAGCTCATAGTAGGACAGTCCTTCAAATATTCAAAGTCCAGAGGAGGAAGCTGAGCCTGGAATTCAGGGAACCATACAGACAGGGTCCATACAGACAGACTGGTGTAAGGGTCCATGAGGTTGGCTAAGGCAGGTAGGATGTACAGGAGGCATCTGAATCTGGAGGCACCTGCACAGCTGAGGTCAGGATGCTAGTCTTAGGGCCCAAAAATCATACAGGAATTTCTTCCCAGAGAGCCAAGGTTCACAGGAGCAGAAACAGCAAATATTTTACACTAGTAATAACTTGGTTTGCTCCATCTCTCCTTTTTTCCCCCGGCACTTTTCTCTAACACCCATCCAAGTCACTTTATACCTGGATGCTTGCCACAATTTTGTAACTGGTCCTTGCCCCAAAGCTGTCTTTTCGTCTTGTGTATCCCTGCCATGTTAACCATTCTCATCAGTTTGAACCCATTGCCCCCCTCCCAAAATCCTTTGCACTGCCTACAAGATAAATCCCCATGCCTCTGTTGGGCATTTAATACCATCTTCAGTCTACCCCAACCTCCTGCTGCTCTGGATAAGAGCCTCTATTACAGATGAACTAGCTCTGGTGACACCCTCAGGCACACCCCTGTGCTTCCCAGTCTGCAAGCCTTTACCTTAGCTGTTCCATCAGCCTGGGTTGCCTTCTCCACCTACCTTCTCCACTCAGCCTACATAATGAGTCAGAACCCTGTGCAAGTGCCCCCTCCTTGGGGAATTGTTCTCTTGAACACTGATATGAAGTCATATCTTATTCATTTGCAATTATAAAAGCATTTTTTTGTTTGCATAAGCTATCTGGATTTATGATAACTCTTATCACTGTTTTGGTCTGTTTAAATAATTTTTTATTATCTCACCACTTTCTCGTTTCCTAAACCAGACTATCAGCTGCTTCAAGAGAGGAAGACATGTCTCATACTTCCTCTCAGAAATGAGCACACAGTAGATGGTCACTAACCATGTGTTAATTTGAAAAATAACTTGTATTGCCCATGTTTTCTCAGTGCTTCCAATTGACTTCACATTTTTTGTACTAAATGAAAAGCTTTTCTTCTAGACAACTACCAATTAAATACTGCTTTAGAAAAATGTAATGTTGCTTACTACAGTTATTTTTCAAATTTCCAGTATAGAGTAGCATTGTTCCAACTTCTAGGGGTGAGTTGGGGTGAGGGGTGTGTGTGTGTTTACATAGGAATTCAGTGCTGTTTTATTTTGTAGAACTGTAATGACTTCTGGTACCAACTACACAGGATTAGGCCAAACTTCACAGGTTAAGGACATAGTAGCCCACAAGACTGCCCTCACTTCAGACTCGAGTCACAAATTTGGAAATTCCTAGGCCACCTTCACTTCTGACCAGCTGGCTACTAATTCAGGGGTTCCCACTAACCCCGTAGTTGGATAACTCACTAGAATGATTCTCAGAACTCAGGAAAGTGCTATATTTATGATGACAATTTTATTATAGTAAAAAGATGTACATCAGAACCAGCCTGCAAGGAAGACATGCATAGGGCAAAGTCCAGGAGTGTCCCAAGTGCAAAGCTCCTGTTTTCCCAAGGGACACGTTACCCTGCTGGCACATTGTTTGTGATAGTACACAGAGTAATGCCCACCAGGGAAGCTCATTTGAGCTTTGGTGTTCAGAGTTTTTATGGGGGTTTCTTTACATAGGCATGAATGGTTGAATCATTCACCACACAATTGAACTCAATCATCAGCTCCCTCTCCCTTCCCTAGAAGTTGAACTGATATCACATGGCTCAAAGCCTCAATCCTCTAATCATATGGTTGGTCTTTCTGGCACAGCCAGCTACCATCCTGTATTCCTTAGCATAAACTAGAAGCCAACTATGAGTCACCTAATTAGCATAAACTATCAGGTGTAGTGCAAGGGGACCACCATGAAGATCAAAGACACTCCTATCCATCAGGAAGTTCAGGTTCTTTATTACATAAGCAGATACCCTCAAATCAATATAAAAATGATTCAATCATTCAAATAAATAAGCTACAAACATTAAAACTGTACTTTAGATATTCCTCAACAAACAATTACAGTATATCACTTCAGCTTATAGACCACTGGCAAAAACTTAGTTTCAGGGCCATTGCTAATAGCAAGGCAGGCTGGAAATTGTCTTTTTCCTGGGCAGCAATAGGCCCACCTAAAATTTGGGGATTCTATTACTAAGGAAGAAGAAGAAGATGAATATTGCTGGAGACTGGGAATCTCTGCCACAAGACCTAAATACGCCAAAGCCATGTGGGAATGAAGGCACATCCAAGACATTCTTTGGTTCTCAGTTTTCTCCTCCATAAGATGAAGCCTTTCCATTTGCAGAAATAAATGGAGAACATCCAAATGAGTACAATCAGAGGCTATGTATTCAGAGAGTTCTAAAACAAAGTTGTCACCCACAATCACCTGCATTCGGCAGTGACCCAAATGCTTGCAGAGAGTGAGAAAGCTTTATATTGGGCGGGGGGAAGCTTCAGTTATTCCCTGACTGGAAGTTGTTGGCATGTAAAAGCTGGAGGTGGAATAAATAGAAGTAGGACATCTTATGTGATCGGTTTGGGGAGCATACGTGGTTGTCTACAGTTGGTTCTGAGTTGGAAATGGGGGCAAAATTATTGACCACATTCATACTATTCTGAGCCAATTGCTGTAGAGGTTGTGGTTTGGCTTCCAGGATGGTTGCTGCAGAACTATGGGTGAGAGTTCTATTGTCATATATGGCATATTTGTATATTTAGTCCTTCAGGTTCCCTTTTTGGTCATTCTCTTGCTTGAGGGAGGTTGACCAATTCAGGGAAGGCTAGAGAGCCAGATCTTTATTACTTGGGGATTGTTCAGTTGGTTCCATAGTAAACTGTATCACAAAATCTTCTTGATATTTTTATCATATTGTCATGGCATCACCTCATAAGAGAGAAGCTGTGCAGAAGCATCGAGCAAAGAAGTGTTTTTCTTAAGGTGGTGTATAACCTATTTTACCAAACCTGTTTCAGGGATCCGAGTACAGAAAGAAGTAATAGCAATGGCACAGATGCTACCATGATTAGCCAACAAGAAATCCAGAGCAATGCATTTGCCCACCACCACTTGTGCCAATGAATTGAGACAGATCTGTATTCCAGTGAGGGTAGAGGTGGTGTCATTAATAACTTTGGCCAGAGTTAGTGACAGGTCTCTTACAGTCTTTTTATTTCCCACCATTGGAATACTGCTCTGATTGTTGACATAAACAATAAGTCAGCAATTTCTCCAGGGTAGAGCGCCCGAATAATCAAAGGTAACCTCATTTTGAAGCTCTTGTATGAATTGGAATTTCCAGCATTGATGACTTATAGAGTTAGAATTTCTGTATACAGGCAAGTCTTGGAATACTCTTCCTGAAATGTGTGAGGTTTTAGTCTGAAGAAAACAAGATCAAGTGTCCTGGCTGCAA